TATATATATATATATATATATATATATTTTTTTTTTTTTTAACCATTGTCCTTCCTACTGTGGCATATCTTCTTTTATCTATCTTTTCAGTAAATGGTATTTCCCCCCATCTCTTCTAGAAGGAGCCACAAACCATCAAATAGATAGAGGTTAATTAGGGGAAATAGGTAACAGTTTGTCTCTGACTCAAGACCCGAAACTGTAGCTGGGCCCTTAACCCAAGACCAGTGTAGAAGTGATTATCTTGCAATCTCACATTAGCTTGGGATCAAGTTAATATTTAAATTGATGTTAAAGGAAGTAAAAAAGTGTTCCCTCTTTATTGCTGATCTCACTTTTGGAGTTTCCAAGCCTTCTGTTTCTCCGTTCCGTTCATCTAAGGGAAAACCAATGTGAGGATCAGTCAATCAAATAGGGCTTTAGGGGCCTGTGGCCTGCACGACTGTTGGTGCCGAACTGAAGTGGTGCATTTTGGAGAGAAAAGAGGATGTGGCTCTGTGTGCCTAACTTTGTGGGCAGGTGATACCCTGAAGCAAATCGATTAAAAAAGCTGTGTTCTCATTGTTTGAGAGAGAGAGGTGAATAAATGAATCATTTTGGTGATGTGTGTATATGCATGTGTATCCATATCCATACATTTTTTGCTGCATTCCAGGATTACCAAAATGGGGTCAAACCACGCATGGTTTTGTAAACTGCTGCTTTCATTCCTGGGCACATTTTTTTTAATGCAGTCAATGGTGACTGCATTGAAAGTTTGTGCCCTAGTTTTTGTTTTAGCCAATACTCTCATGTGCATTGAGTATCTAATGTTTCCAGATGTTTACTATCCTTATACAAATTGTATAGTCGTATGTAATTATTATTTCGGCTAAATTCCTAGGAGTGAAATTGAAAATGATATATGTCTTAGGTTTACTGTATATTGTCAGAGGAATCTCAGCAGAAAGTTTATACGAGTTTACGACCTCACCAGCAGAAAGCCTCAACACTACTGAGCACTGTTGATATTTTTCATCTTGATTAATCTGATGGGTGAAGAATGTTGTTTCCATGGTTTATTTGCATATCTTTGTTTTTGCATGTTGATTGGTCATTTGTAATTCTGTCTTGGTGAATTGCCTTTTCTTCTCATACTTGGCTTGTCTTTTATTGATATGAAGAGCTCTTTGTATCATAGTAATTTTTATTCCCAGCTGTCGTGTATTTTATAAACCAGTTTTCTAGTTTATCATTTCCCTTTTGACCCTGATTGTGTCATATGTTGCCACACAGACTTTAAATTTAGGTAGTCAGATTTATCAGTCTTTTCCTTATATATTCTACCTTTGGTGCCATGCTTAGGGGGGCCTTCCAATCTCAAAGTAATAAATATAATTCAGCAGTTTAAAAAGACATTTAAGTCTTTAATCCATCTGAAATTTATCTTAGTATACGGAGTGAGGTTTAGGGCAGAGGGGATCTTTCTTTCTTTCTTTCTTTTTTTTTTTTTTTTTTTTTTACTAAGTTGTTAGATGGTTTAGCCAGTTGTCCTGTTAATATTCATTGACTTTTTTCTCCTAGTGATTTTAATTATATACTGAATCAGATACCAAAATCTGTTTCTGAATGTTTTCCTTTGTTACACTGATCTATTTCTGTGCCAATACCACCTGCTTTAACTTTAAAATAAGAATTTTAATACCAAGTAAAATTAAGTTACCACTCTTTCTGTTAATTCTCAGATTATTCTCAGATTTTATTACATATTTATTCACATACACATATTTATTATACATGAACTAAGGAATTACTTGGTCACATCCCCCCCAAAATCTTAATATTTTTTTTGGTTGGAGTGGGGGGCATGTGGTAGATAGAGAGTGCTCCTATCCCACAACATGGAATGTGTCTCCATTTAATTTTGTGTGTGTGTCTCTCTCTAGAGTATTCTAGTTTTCAACTTACAAGGTAGTTTATGTTTATTTTGTGTTAGGTATGTCTAGGTATTTTCTATTTTGTTATCCTGGCCTCTTGAGTCACTGCCTCAGCTCATGCCCCTGAACGTGCATCCCATGGCCTCTCACTGCTGGTATTCCTGGAGCTATCCTGCCCTGCAAGCCTGTCCTTTTTTGGGAGAAGTCACACCAAGGTGTCTCCTCCAACATAACTACT